TATATATATATATATATATATATATATATATATATATATATATATATGAATAAAGACAATTTATAAAAAATATTATTTTAAATTATAAAAGTATGTTAATTTATGTTAATTTATAATAAATTATTTATTATATTTTGTCTATACATAGATAATTACGATGAAGCTGCTAAAAAGGAAAGAGAAATATTCCTGTCAGCATCTGAATCGGAACATATTAATTATAAAATAAGCAATTCTAAAAGTTGTTCTTCTAGAAAACTTTTTGATACTATTGACAATAGTGGTAAGAACCTATATTTATTCAACTACCTATTAACAAATTTAGTTAACATATTATTTATTCGTTTTAATTATTTAAAGAAAATATGAATTATTATTTATTAATACATTTATATTATTTTAAGCTTGTGTTATTTATATAATTTTTAGAAGATTATGTGGCAGCACAGAACACAATTCACAATGTAGTTAGTTAACAATATAATATTTTAATGAACATGTTAAAAATAAAACAAATGTACTCGTATAATAATAGTTATCACTTATCAATAAATACAAATATGTATAATCGTAGAATCTAATCCATATTTAATCATTAATTATATTTGACTCAAATTTTTAAATAATTAATAATTCTATATTTCTATTATACTATTTTAAACATTGTTTTCTATTCAGAAGTTATAATTTTTAGTAGTAACATTTTTTAATATTGTACCTACTTAATTCATTATTTAACCAAAGTTTTTATTTTTAGACAGCAGTAATGATGATGATCCACCAATTAAAATTATGAAAAAATATAATGAAACCAAAAGTATAGCAAATAATTCATTAATTGATGTTCAAAAAGAATCTTATAGTTGCAGTGTTGAATCAAATTCATCTATATCAATGGGACCCATGTCTTCTTGTAATTATTGTATATCTACCTATTCTTTAATACCTTTTCATTTTTGTATTGATAAATTATAAATTTTAAAGTTTAATATCCAAAATTCTTTATATTTTTTAATAATATTTTTTCTATTTAAAATTACCCATCTGTTAAACTATATCGTACCTACTTGTGTGTAATATAGTTTTCACCTTAAACAATATTATTTGTTATGTTTAGTCGTTAGTAATGATAAACATTCTAAACAAACATTAGAAAAATCAAGCAAAGCGAAAACTTTACCAGCTTCATTATGTAGCAATCAAGAAATAGTATACAATGTTGAACAAAGTTCAAACATTTCTCCAGGACCTCCTGTACAAATTTCTAGCAGTACTTATGTATCATGTAAGTAATGCTCTAAAGAAAAAGTATTTATATATCAAAACTAAAATTAAATTAATTCATCTTTTGTACAATTACTAATAAAAATACATTTAAAATTTATTTAGCTGCAATGAACACGTTGCCCACACAGCACGATAATATTTTTTAAACGTTTATTCAATATTGAACATTAAATGTCAAATATTTATTATTAGTTGAAATTTAATTGATAACTCATTATTATATATTGACTAAACGTTGTAGGTACATTAGTTGAACCAAAATTAAATGCTATATTGTAATTTGAAATAATATGTTTAACCAACATTTCTTACAAATATTTATTAAACATTGATTTTTTTTTTATTTCAATGTTATTATTCGATTTATATAATATTATTGAATGTTTACCTAAAGTTGCAGGTTCATTAGTTGAACCAAAAATAAATGTTAAATATTAATTTGGATTTATAAATTTCAGAAACATTATTTACGAATATTTATTAAATACAGGATAGTTTGATATTCAAAGTTGACTGTTAGTTTATTGTATATTTATTTATATTGTAGGTACATAAATTATATTATTAAACTATATAAAATAAAATTATACAATTAATATAAAATAATAATAATGCTTACATAGAATTATAAATACATTTTAGCCACTTCTACATGCATGTATAATAGATATAAAAAAAAAAGAAATATATCAACATTATTAATCAAAAATACATATTTTGCAGGATTTACACAAGATAAATATATAAACATATAATATTAAGATGACCAAATAATAATAAATGATGTTTTAATTATTTATAAAACTTAAAACAAAAGTATTTTTCAATATATAAAGATATAATGAGATATAAGTAAATAAGATATAATATTATAGTACTGGTATAGAATAAAATTAAAATGGTCAAAAATTATAATTATTAAGTAAAATACCGTTGTTGTAGATACTGAAAAGTAGCAATGTATCATTTTTCTTTGATATAAATAAACATGAATTGAAATTTTTGAAATAAAGGATATAATATATTAAAATGAGTAATTTAAGAATTAAATATTATCAAAGATTTCAAAAAATTA